ATGCTTTTGTTTAGGTTACAAGCTGATGAAAATGTTGAATTTATTCAATGTCCAACTTATTTACGTAAGAAGAAAAAAAATGTCTAGTGAACTTTCAGATAATATTTTTAGATCCTATTCAAAACATAAAAGTGAACACAATTTTTTCTGCACTAGGCATACAAATACAACTATCTGAATGTTTTAGTGATAAATCAATTGGTGTTTTTGAGGGTCTATCACTTCTTACTAATGAAGTAGTTTATAAAATAAATCAAGATCCTGATTCTTCACCAAAGTTCTTCTTAGAAATATATTTAAAGTTTATGATAAAAAATATTTATGTTCAGAATACTTAAAATTTGTTTCAATTTTTAATACTCTGATAGCATCAGAAGTTTTACCAAACACCTTACATAAAAAATGTAAAGAAATATTTGGAAGTAAATCTGAACCTGAAAGCGATGATGGAAGTGACAAAGAAAATAATTATTCAAAACATATTGCATCAAACATTAAAAATAATTAGGGAAGCTTACAACCAGTTTTTTAAATATTTTTAAATAAAGATTTAATATTTGTATTCCCAAATTTTTTGTACAATGTTAAAGATAGGATTGATGTAACTAGTAACTAGTGCTAGTCCCGAAAGAGAGTAGTTTTCCAAGCTGAAAATAGTAAAGAATTCCTTATTATACATATTGTATTCACTATATTACTTACTTTCGCATATTATTTATTATATTTCAAATATAATTTACAATTATTTTAATAAATTATTATTATTAATTGGTATACAGGGTAATTCGCCAAGCATGCTCATCCCCATTTGTTCCTTTAATAATAAATTTCTTCAAATTCTGATTTTCAGAATGTTTAAACATACCTAAAGACCATATTTTCAAATTATTGATTTTTTTTGCACTAAAGTGTTCCGTAGTAGTACAAATTTTTGTTTTTCAAATGAGAACCACCTTCTTTTACTGTATATTAATTAGTGAATAATATTTTTGAAAATTTTAATTCACTACATTCAAAATTTGAACGAGTAGTTTCTTGGTAATTAAACTTTCATCATAGTCTCCATATCTTATAAACTCATTACTATGAACCTTTTATCCTTAGAACCTAAAGTTAAATAATTCAAAAATTACTAGTACAAATTTTGATTTTGATACTAAAAAAATTTCAGAAAAATGATCTACTGCTTAATTTATAGTTAAATATTGATATTCTCATTTTAAAAACAGAAGTTTGTATCTCTACAGGAGTACAGATCACTCCTGAAGTAGCCCAAAAAATCTCAAGAATTTAAAAATAAGGTCTTACAGTATACTAAAAAATTAAAAAAAATTCAGGTTTTGTATAACTGTATTATTGAAGAAAAAAAGAGGATGAGCATGCTTGGTGAATCAATCTGCATATGGCTGTATTTATTTACAATCAAACAATTTTTAATCAATGAAATGTTCCAATAGTAATTTATATTCTTTTAAATAATATTCCCTAGCTGTTTAGCAGTACCATCATTTGCATTATAAAAAAAATGTCAAAAGAACAAACGTGTTATTGGTATGTGATTGGGGTGGTGGCTATAGTGAAAAATATATAAGCCATTAGGGCACATTTATTAAAACGTCTGTGCGCCACTGCTAAAACTATTGTTCAACGTGAAAATATCTTCTTCAATACACAATATTGATCAAGCTGGTCTAATTAATTGTTGATTCTTTTTAATACAGAAAAATACCATTTTTTTTCTTTTACATATTAAGAATATAGAATTGGTACAAATTAGTATTCATGGCATTTTCAACATTAGGAAATATTATGTTTAAGGACTCATTATTGAGATATATACTTATAATAATACATTTTTCGTTATAATTTTGGTATTATTATAAAGTGTAAATAACCATCATAGACTTCATCTCAAAAAAATATGTCGAAGTTGAATCCTAGTTTCTTCTTGAGATTATTATTTGCAGTACTTAAGACTGTTGATTTTAAAAATATAGGTAATATAATAGGTATAACACACTACACTACACCTTACCTCACCCCTAGCACGGTTTTCTTTAGTATTGCTCGGCGTTCTTGTCCACTCCTATACTCCTATTGAGTTTCTTCATGTATGCACAATACAAATTACATATTTAAAAAGAATAGCCTATCGGCGAATGGTAATGCGTGAAAAATGATGTATAGATAATTGCCTACACAAAACTCCTGAGGAATATGGTGGTGCAACATCTGAGGGCAGCCCTCTTAAGCACCTGGTACTACTATCCTGTAAAATCAACCAAAATATTTTTTTTTTAAATTAATTGAGATAAAAATCAGTACCAGGTTCTTAATACAAGGGAGCCATCATAACTGGACATTAACGATGAATGACGACTAAAGTCGTATTCACAGCTACGTCGGGTGCTGTGTCGATCAAATCGTATTGTGATTGGACATTATTTTTTTGATATTATGTAATAACCAAGTTACAACTGAGTATATCAGGAATCGACTTTCAACTTTTCAACCATATTGGTTACCAGTTTAAACCATAGAGACCACACCCTCACACGATACGACACACGACGTAGCTGTGAATCCGGCTTTAAGCTATTCGTTCCCGTCTCGTTTTATTCGACCAACTTACATATAGAAGAAACATTCCGTTTCATTACATTTATTATACCGAAGATAAAACGGTTACATGCTTACGAGTCCATGATCGGAAAGCATTATGGCTATAGATATCGCAGTATTTAAGTGGGCAGATGTAAAATTCCCTAACAATTTAAATAGTAAATTCCCCTAATAGTAATCTCCCCTAAAAACATATTGCTACCGTATTACACTTACGTAAACTCCCTTAAAAAAATTATAGCCATTTAGCGTAACCCAGAGGACACCACGAGGAGGCGGCTCTAGTTATCCTTCAAAACATTTTTTTTCTTTATAGAAAAATTCATCTCTTTAGACAAATTCATATTCATCGTCACTATAGTTTTATTAAAATTATTAAGTGTTGATTGTAGGTGTTGTTGATGTTGATTATTTTTTGATTGATTAATATGTGAAATTGTTTTTATACAATGAAATGCAGTTATTTTTTGATCTTTATAATTTTGTATTGGCTGGTTTAATCATTTTTTTTTGTCGTCTTTTTAACTTATTATTATGGCAACTATTTGGTTTATGCATACTTTGTAATTTTATGTAAATTTCTGATTGAATATTTTTTAATGTATTAATAGATAAATATAAAAATATTTGGATGGCTACGGTTAAAATTTGATTTAAAATGTGCATGGAATAATTCACAAGCATTGGTAGATTTTGTGAATTCGGAAGAAGCTTCTGCTCAGACTGTTGGTGGAAAAATTGCTCGTTCACCAATATATATTTGTATATTGGTACATATTATATGTATTTTTTAAATAATCATAAAATGTTTCCAGGTGGTCATAATTTGGTTTGGTGTTGTACAGGTCAATATTAAAACAGTTTTCAACATCTTCTGGGTTTAAAAATATCAATCCAAAACAGTAATGTAGCCATTTACTAATTTCTGATTCGTCATTTTTATAGTCCGGCGTGAGCCCAAATCTTTGAATTGCACACCACCATGCCTGCGATAGATGGAAACGACAACCATCTAATTTAATTCCGGGCTATTATTGTAACATGCAAGCATTTCTTAATTCTTTTTCAAAATCTGTTACAATTTTATTTGGTTTGAATTCACTATCAACTTCATTACTTAGTTCATTAATTGTTTGAAAACATTGTTTATAAGTTAATTCCTTTTTATCTTTCAATAAACAAAATATTAAAGGAACATAATGGCAGTTTAAACTTTAGATAACCTCGGAAAGTTAAAAATTGGTAGAAAATTTAGCACAGAAATCAAATGTTCCATCAAGATATACAATTTCGGCTTGACAATAAGCTCTTAAATTTTATTTACGTGAAAAAATTATTAAATTATCTATTACAGTATTTGTTAATACAAAATGTTCGTCTTGGATTGTCTTTATATTAAGTTTCTCAATAGCTTCGTGGTCAGAGTTCATTTTTTTCGGTAAAAGATGTAAAATTTTACGGCGTGCATTGTATGCGTTTCTCTTAACATATTTTAAATCAGTAATTTATAATAAATTTATTACAGAATCATACATTTTAAGTAAAGATGACAGTATGTCATTGACTGGGAAAGGAAAATAATTAGACCCAGTTATCTTCTGAAAGAAACTAAATTGTTATGTGTTCAAAAAGTCTAGGAATCGTATATTTTTACAGCGTACATACCCAATTACTATTTTTAATATCGACCGACGACAAATAAAAATAATCGACCGTCAAAACAACATAACATGTATAAAATGTCGATACTTGTCGTAATTGAAAAATATATATTATTCAGTAATACTATTATCTCGCTTTATACAATACAATACCTAAGCGATTAAGATTAAATTTTAACTGCAAGTATTGATACAAATCTGGACGAGCCGAACGGAACGGTTGAAACTGAAAAAATATCTCAGCAAATATTTAATCATAATTATGTCCTTTTATCTTGAAATTTTAATAAATATAAATAAATAAAAAATAAATAGATAGGTACACGCGGCTACTGTGTTTAAACAGCAAAATGTTTTTAGGGGAGTTTACGTAAGCGTATTACGGTACCAAAATGTTTTTAAGGGAATTTACATGCGGCCATTTAAGTATATGTCTCAAATGTCCTGCATTACCATATATTTCTCTGTGAACCCGTAGCACATCAACAGATTTAAATGTGGGTTTTTCGATAAAAGCCCATAAGAAAATTCCAATTTAATGGCATAAATTCATTATAGATTAATAATATACTTCCTTTCCTATAAATAACTGTTGAAAAAAACGACATTCAGATAATATTGTATTGATTTGCAATAAGGGTGACATTTGACTTGTGGGGAAAATTGCGTTAAAAAATAATGTAGCATATAATATTAAGCGATGTGGGCACATGCCATCTACCGGGTGTTCCGGTCGAAAGTGTCACGTCTGCGATTGCTGCGGGACGAGCCACACTCTGGGGCGACGGACCTGGCCCTCGACTGGCGGCTGCGCGGCGTGGACGTACCGCTCATGGCGAACGAATCGTTGAGGCCAAACGGCATGGACTGGCGTTCAGCCGACGGCCACTGGCGCCGTCCTGACGTGTCCCGCGAACCGCTGAAGTCGTCGTACGCCGCGGGACTAAAGATGCCCAGCCCTTGCGATCCCTGCACCGAGCTGCGGTGGTCCAACGTCATGCGCCAAATGTCGGGCGTTGTGTTCGCGTCCGACTCATCAATGGGCACGTACGGCTGACCGGGCAGGGCCACAGCTCGCGGCGCCACCATGTCGTAGTTGAGATGATTGTCGAGGTAGTCGTCTATGTCGCCGTCGGTGTCCTGCAGCCTGCTGCAAGACGACGACCGGGCACGCTGTTGGTTCCTCGTCGGCGACAGTCCCTGGAATCCCGTTCCCAGCAGCTGGAAGGTGCCGGTCAACGTGAAGGTACTGCCCTCCGACCGTCCGCAGTTGGATTCTCGCTGTGGTTGTACGTCACTGCAAGCGTTCCTTTGGATGGCAGAGCACGGCTGCGACACATCGTAAGTGCCGCGCCGGTCGTTTTGCTGGATCGCGGCGCACGGCTGCGACACGTCGTACGTGCCCCGTCGGTTGTTTTGCGGCTCCGGCTCCACGTCGTAAGTGCCTCGTCGCGCGTTTTGATCACCACACGGTGGCGGCTGTACGTCGTAAGTGCAGCGCCGGTTCCGAGAACTCCGCGCCTGCGACGGTCGGTTGGACATGTCCAGTCTCCTGGACTGTTCGGGCCGGCACGGACAGCCGGAGGGCCCAGGCTGGGCGGATTGCGACCCTGACCTCGATGTACGTCCGCCATTCATCGACTGACTGTTGCGGCGTCCACAGCTACGGCCAGCGTTGCTGCAGTTATCACTTCCGGCTCTGCACCGAGCGTAATTACTATACCGCTTGATCAAGTCGTTGGGATTCTCGCAATCGGTTGGGCGTGAGTCTATACTAAACACCTCAGTGTTTAGATCAGGATCGAGGATGATACGTAAAGGTGCAGGATAAACTTTGTCCGTCACGACGAATCGTTCGTCCGATACCGGTTCGTATTTCATTTCGTCAATCGACGTTTTCATGTGTTGTGTGTGATGAGAATAAAATTGATTTTTCAATTTGAGTAATGGGTATATCGTGTAGTAGTGAGTTTAGTTTGTTTTATTATAGTGGTGTTATAAGTTTGAAGTGAAGTGTTTGGCTTGTTGTTTGGCTTAGCAAACTAACAAACTGTATAAACGTGTAATACATACCAGTTATGTTTTTAGCCAACATGACAATATAATATACATTATAGCAAAATAATAACACAGATTAAAATAATCACGTATCAGTGCCATAATAACCGGGTGTGTTGCTTGTGTTGAAAGCACTGGCCCCAGCATATAATGGGGCCTAATGATACAAATTGAAGAATATGTAGAAAGAAAGAAATAAAACTATTTCGTTATAATAATATTATTAATGAAGATTAAATAATTGATTGATTTTGTTTTTTACAAGTTATCAACGTTTCTTTTACTAACTGTACCCTATAACTGAAATTAAAAATAGTTGATATAATCAATTATTGATTAACGTCACCAAAAGCAAAACCGCATCAATGACTGGCCTAATGTGGCGTATAATTATTGGTGTTTATTTTTTTCTGATTTAGTTTCAGATGCTATTGTCAAGGAAGTTGACTTCTATATTTCCAGATGGTAACTTGATGGTAACTTGATTTTCTATTTTTTCTAAAGTTTCTAATAGAAAGTTGACTAGTAATGTGTTATGAGTTCATTAAAATGTTCTTTTGTATAATCATTTATATTTAAAATAAATAAAATAAAGCGAGTAAGTGGATATTGCTCTGCTGTACAGTAGGTTTTAATTGGGTTCTTGTATGGATATTGTTTAATTTTAATTCCATTTCATAAAATCATTGAGTGTGAAAACGAATTTGAGGGAAGGCATTCTATCAGCCTATAATATTACTTCGAAATTTAGTAAGTATACTTGATGATGTTATTGAAATTAAAGTAAATTTATTTTTGTCAAAAAAAGTTACATTTGAAAAGTCATTGTATGTTTATAATATAATAATACACTCTAAAAGTTTTAAGTACTCACAAATAATATTTTTAAATTACAACAAAATATATTAAATCATTATTCTTATGGCTAATTAATAATTTGTAATTTCATCCAAATTTGAACATAAAATAACTATAAAAAAATACTGTGTTTATATATTTTGTAGATTTTTGGTTGCAGAATTAACTTCTAGTAACCAACTTTGTTTTGCATTTTCAATTCTTAAAAAAAGTTGAACATTTTATAAATATTTATTATAATATTTTTCAACTGATATTGTAACAATATATCAGGAGCCTTGTATTACATTTACAGTTTTCAAATTTTATTGACATTTATAGAAAAAAATCTAAAAAAGTTTAATTTTAAATGTCCGTGAACAGCTCAAAACTAGTCGAAATATTTTGAAAATGTTATCAAGTATATGAATTGATAAAATAAACATATAACGGTGTAAATTTCAAGTATACGCCGTTACACGTTTTTGAATTCAGCACAATAAGAAAATCGGTATATGAGAAATTGAGCAAATTTCCAATAACGTCTGTATATGAATAATTATGATAGCAAAATATGCATTCATGAATACGTCAAAAATTAAGATTTCTATTTACATAGTTTAAATAAAAATTAATAATATAGACTAATGAAACCTATATAATAATAGCTATGATAATAATATATGTGTTCAAAAATATGTCGGAAATTAAAATTTCATTTTGAAGAGTGAAGACCATAAAAATAGTATTTTATTTGCCAAACAAAATTTAATTTTTACTAGACGAATGTAATATAATAAGTTATAACATTTTATTGCCAATTATGTTGTTTTAGGTAATATGTAGGTACAAATGTAATTATGTAGGTATACAAATTACAAGTATAATATATTTATTATTAATATCTTGGAATAGGTGCGACTCATCGGTTACACACTTAACCTTTTTACCCAAAAATACTCAACACGATTAAACACAAAAAAAATATGGCCAGTTGTATTTTTATAAACACCACAAATAAAACACGATTGAACACTAACAAGTTTTAGAAAATAAAATAAATAAAATTGTATGATTTTTTTTATTTATAAAAGTATATATTTTAAATTAAACATTTTCTTTAGAGGGCAATAGTATAGTATTTTTGCCTTTCAGTGGGCTATATATTTTTTTGTGCAAAATCGAGTTGCTTTTTATGCTGATTAAAAGGTCAAATGTGTGCAATTATTGTGCAATGTCTTCGAATGTGGCCCTAAAATATTTTATCGGTTGGTTCCCAATATGTTCTATTAAAGTGTTATCGTTGACGATTTAGCTTTTCACTCGCTAAATAAGTGCTTGGGGCGAAGACGAGTTTCACTGACTATATTACCTATTTTATCACTGATAAAATACCTGTGGTTGAATTCAAATCAAAATTAAATTTTGAAATTAATAATGATTGATGATTTTACTCCAGAAATGTATCTTGATTTTGAAACCGGGTCACTTTAGGTAAGAGACATACATTTTTGAACCAAAAAAACAGGTAACACACAAGCGCCGCATATTATAAATACAATTATTAACATCTTCAGTCATGGCGTCATGCGGAATATCGATAATCCATTCGGACTATGTAGTATGTACCCTGTTCGGTAAAGCACGAATGATTCCTTTTTTTAAACACATAATGGACTGTAAAAATGTCTCAAAAAGTAACATGATTGCATACTATATTTTATACAATGTTTATTAATATAATTTATTAGTATAATATAAGTTACATTTAAATATTTTTAAATAATAAATACAAGTATAATATAGTATTATTTAATTACTGATAAAAGCTATGTGGAATCTTTAACTTGTCATACTATTAAGTTAATTATAGAAAATTAACTAACTAGTTAAATTAAAAAGTGAAAACCTTCGTTCACAAATAATAATAATTAAAAATTAAATGTTCTGTATAAATCTTACTACACAGGATTTTAAAAATGTAAAAAATTATAAATCAATTTCTTAGTATAGTTTTACAAATACTCTACAAATATTTTAGTTCAATAATTTGATCTAGACGTTGTTTGTCAAATTAAAATTCTTACACAGCTACTATCTTTATAATTATTATGAGGTATTTTTAACATTAGATCAAATTTAAACAAAATTACATTGGGTATTCTTATTATTCTGACAACAACAAATTAAAAACGAAACTTAATGAATTTTTTTGTAATATGCTTGGACAAATAACATACACAAGTAATACAACTACACAAGTTTCGGCAACTTAAGTATTTAGTTATGCAGATATAAAATTTATAGTAGTAGTGTAACACCATATCTAACTTAAAGTGCACATATACCACTCGGCGCATTACAAATTGTTATATTTCATTATTGTTACAAATATAAATTTACATATCGATTTTTAATGTGCAATAAATATACTTTTCCTTTTTTTTACCGAAGTACGGATTGTTAATTCATATAATATACCTTTCGGTCCAACAACATTGCAAACACGTCTTTATAGTTATGGAAACCTGGCTACATTGCGCATCAATCATAGGTAAAAAAAAATTGTGTAAATATATGCTTAATAAAGATTATATACACAATTGTTTTCTACCTGAATACCTGTTACGCTTCCGAATACTAAAATAATATACCGATTACCTGCCTTTACTAGGGTCCCATCCGACGGTGAGCGTGTCCGAAACTGCGAAGTATACAGGTACTCCGTGTACGCGCTGAACGTAGTGGTCAATAATGGTAAACGCAAGTACAATAATCTTTTAACGACTACAATAAACTAAAATAATTAATTACTTTTAATTTTATTGATACCTAATAAATAGGATTAACTTATTCATAAACTTTTGACCAAAATCATTGAAAAACGCAAGTTATAGTCACACCGATAACCCAAGCACGAACTACAGATAAACGATCATTGATTTTTTAAAATTATATTATGCGGAGGTAACGGCAGTAATTTGACCAACATTTTGGACCGATTCGCTCTTCCCAACTATTAGGGAACCATCCAACGACGTGTGTGCCTGAATCTAAGAATATTACGTTGTTCGATGTAAGAGCTAGATTCTTTTGATATTTTTGTCGTTATCATAACGCATTAATTTGTTATCTATTTGTAATTAAATTTTTATTTTTTATTAATTCTGAAGCATCTACACATTTTTTGATGTATGTACCAATATTATTAATAAACTCTTTTAAGAATAAAAGATGTTAAGAGCAGTAATGAACGTATTGATATTATAATGATGTTTATTTTATTTTTTATTTTGGTGTTTAATTTTAAATTTTTTATGTAAATTGTGGCCTTAATATATTTTTATTCGTGCTTAAATTAGTTTTAGAAATATTTCTGAAAAAAAATAACACAGCAAGTGATAACACAGCAACGCCCGTGTATCGGTTCGTGCGCGAACGTGTTATAACTAGTAACAGTAGATAGTAGTAATCATATTGGTTGAAAGTTTGATGACAGCTGAACTTGGTAATTGAAAACTACAAGTTAACTAGTTCTTGTTAGGTGTACTTGGTGTCTTGGTAGTAACTTGATTTGGGTAAAATGTATTACTAAAAATTTGTATAAATTCCTGTATACGAAGTCTAAACGAATAATTGTTTTGGTTGAAAATTATTTAATTTCTTCTTATATATGAACCTAATTGATGTAACTTTTCCCATCATTTCTCTGATTTTTGTTCTTTCACTTTTTAAACTAATGTATTATGTTTGCATATTTTTTTTAATGTCTTGGAATTTAATTTAACAACGTTTTAAAAATACTCGTTCAGCATTTTACGCTGATTGCACTGTGTTTGAGCCTTAATACCTTATATTCGTCTATACCCGTACAAAAACATCGACTGTGCTTTACAAAATTAAAAAACATTAAAACACTTGTTTATGTCCAGTTACTTTACAAATCAATAAATTTGGCAACAACTCACAATTTTATAGGTTCACTT